GGAATTTTCAGCTTGTGATATCAGTAGCCCAACTTTGCAGGCCGACCATTGATATCGGCCGTGCGTCGGGAGAGGATCGAACCCCGGACCATGTGCATGGTTGGCGGGAGTCTTAAGTGCTGTGCCACCGACGCACGATTAAAGAGTCCTTTGAAGGGATCAGCACATTTCTTTTGTTTCACTTCTTTGGCAATTGAGCTTCCTTCCCAAACTCTCAGTTGGCCTGCTTATGTGTTAATCTCCTCTCGGATAATGACCTAGTTTAGATATCATGGAGAATATTTGTAGTTCTTTTTTTTTCTTTTTTTTTCTTCACGTTCCCCAGTGGAACATAGGGCTTCAAGCTAGAGGCTTGAAGTTTCTGTAGCAGTGTCTATTTTACAGGATGGGGTTGCTAGCCTCATGCCCAACCTTTCCCCTTCACCAGCATTATTTCTGGCTTAGCGAGCGAGGTAAAGGAGTGCGCCGGCCGGGGATCGGACCCCGGACCATGTGCATGGTCGGCGAGCGTCCTAACCACTACACCAGTTGGAGAAAATCTAAAAGCTCACTTCAAATTGAAGTATGCGCTGAAGATGTCGCGATCTAGTAGGGGAATGAAATCCTCTCAAATAAACCATCCATCCAGCTAGTTCAGAGAATACAACTACATCAAAATGACCTGGTTATTTTGATATAGTGATCTCAGATATTTACTACGTGCAACCTGTTCTGCTCCAATTCTCAGTGTTTCGTCGTGCAAGTGTCTTTTGTCTCGCCTAGAACTCATCTTCGCTATTTTGTTCACTTCACTTTGTTGTTTTCCACTCGGGGATCTGGCTTGTGGTATCACTAAATGGTCTCCTCGTAGTTTGTCCTCCAATTCATCTTTATTACCCTAGGCATATTTGTTAGGCAACAGGTTTCTAGTTGCTTCATTCCCAGAGTTCCTCGGTGCTAATCGCTTCTGGCCGGCTATCTAAGCTTCAGGAAAGAGCGACGGGGGCATGTGTTGATAAAACTCTGCAGAAGCCTGTTGGAAACGCTTCTTGTTACACGCCAATTCTCCGGACCACAAAAAGACAAACTAATCAGACTGTAGTGTTTTTAATCCAAATTTCGTTCCTTATTTTTGAGTCCAGCAGATTTTCACACTCCGATTTCAGAGTAATAAAGGTTTGTCTTGCTTTCCCAACATCATCTGGGCCTCCTGTACCTGAAACGATGCCTCCCGGATAGGTGAAAGAGGTGACTTCCTGTAGATTCCTCCTACTGGTGGCGACTGTTGCTGTTGTTAGTTAGGTATCTTCACACCTCTCTCTTCTCTATATGCTTACTTGGAGTCTTGTCTTCGCTTCCCCCTCTGCCAACATCTCAATCTTCTCCTGTACATCTTCGAGTTTATGTGATTTATTATTATTATTGTTCCTTTGGGTTCCTAGTGGAACATAAAGCTTCAACTACACGTCTCCACTTGCTTCTGTCTTCTGCTGTACTTTTCACCTCCATTCATGTTAGTCCAAACTGTTTCAACTCTTCTTCACAACACCTCCTCCATGTCACCCTTGGACGTCCCACTACCCGCCGCTTCCCTTTTGGGTTCCACTCGAGCGATGGGCTGACGCGCGATGTCACCAGCAGCGGCCTCCTCAGCGAGTGTCCAATCAATCTCCACTTTCTCCTGCATATTTGTTGAGCGATTGGTTCTTGTTTTGTTTGTTTGTTCCCATAGTTTCTTGTTGGTTCTTGTTCTTTCCGGCCATCTGATCTTCAGTATGATGCTAGCGAAGACAGTTGTTGTTGTTGATAAACGTCTGCAACAGGCTGTTGGAAATATTCTTTGTGACCCGCCGCCAAGTTTCTGATCCATCCGTATAAAAGAACTGACTGACTTGACGTTTGTATTGAAAATCTGAATTTTGTTGTTGAGTGTTGCTGAGTGACGAAGATTTCCAGATTGGTTTCAGGTTGATGAATGTGTTTCTCGCCTTCCCGATTCTCGATTTGACATCCTCGTCCGTTCCTCCTCCTGTAGTTGATACCATGCTCCCTAGCTGGATAAGTGAATGAAGTAACCTCTTTCAAATTCCTCCCATTGGTGATGGTGATTGGCGCTGGACGTTGCTGCTGCTGTTGTTGTTGTTGGTTGGTTATTTCCACAACCTCCGTCTTGTCTATGTTCACATGGAGTCGTGTCTTCTCTGGATGCTTCTTCGACCAGTTTGTTGGTTTTCGCTTGTAAGTCTTCGATTTTGTGTGACTTCAAACATAAATCATCCACGCGCGAAATCCAGGTCTTCTAGATTATTCACGTCGGTCGAGGATATCCCTGTCTTCTCGTTTCCCACTGTCGTCTAACGAAGCATAATCCAGTCCACCACAATTACGAATATCATTGGTGATAATAAGCACCCTTGTCTGACTCCTGTGTTTACTCCAAACACCTCTCTTAGTTTTCCGTTGTGGATCACTTGACATGTGCCTTGTCACACAGCTGTTGAATAAGGTTGACGAATATTTGAGGTACGCCGTAGTACTCGAGTAGTTTCCAAATTACCTCGCGGTCAACGCTGTCTATCGAAGGCCTTCTCAAATTCTATAAAGTGATATTGGACTTAAATCTTCAGAGAAGTTCAGATCTCTTGGAGTCCGCTTGTCCATCCAATGTATGCCTACTATCTTCTCGGTACTCATGGTCTTCCGCATGATTCAGCCTACCACAAGCAAGCAAGAATATCGTCGATGATATTAGGCAGTTTTGTCTTACTTCTATCTTCACTTCAAAGGTTCCTCTGAATTTTCTGTTGTGAATCTGTCAGATAAAATTACATTGGTTCTCTAAAGACAGAAGACAAGGGCCAGGCAAGAAACAGATCGTTCATTGAGCAAAATCAACAGGTATTTAGAGATTTTTCTGTACATTATTATTAGCGTTATTGTTAGCAGAGAAGCAGAGTCTTCTGATTGCTTGTTGTTGTTTTCCTGCTGAAGGTTATTCTGTCATCTCTTTGTGGCCGTTTCTTAGAAAAAAGTCAAGCCATCTATCTGCGAATCGCATATCCGCCCACGCTAAGACTGCTGTTATTGGTTGTTTGTTGAGTTCCTCAAGGTTAGGCATAGTTTCCGTTTCTTCTCATGACTAATGTTGGCTTGCAGACAGCTCCCACAGCTGCACAGTTCTATTTGGTCACAACTTTAAAGTTGCCGTCTGTTCTACGATTAGGTGTCTTGATGCGTTGGAAAATAACTTCATCTACATTTTGTGTCCACAGAACTAATAAAACGGGGGGTTATTATTATTATTGTTTCCTTTAATTCCTAGAGGAAAACAGGGCTTCAGCCATGCGTCTCCATTGCGTTCGCTTCTCTGCTAGAGTCTTCACCTCGCTCCAAGTCTGCCCACACGCTTTCATCTCCTCTTCACATCACCTCCTCCAAGTCACCCTCACCTTCCCACTGACGACCAACTCGCCGTCTCCCTTTCCGTCGGGTTCCACTTGAGCAATGGCTTGTCTAGTGATGTCACTCACTTGATGGTTTGTTTCCTCAGAGTATGGCCACAATCCAATCCATCTCCATTTCTTCCTGCCTATTTGTTTCACAATCGGTTCCTGCTGTGTTGGTTGGTTCGCTCATTGCCAGAGATCCCATCCTGTTGCTGATCTTTTCTGGCCAGCCGGCCGGCCATCTGATCTTGAGTGGTATTGAGCGAGGACAACTGTTAATGAAGGTGTGTAGTTTGTTTGAGATGCTCTTTATGACTCGCTGGCCAAGTCTCTGATCCGTATAGTAAGTAGCACTGACTGACTTCACATTGGAGTTGAAAATCCGGATCTTACTTTTGATGCTGAGTGCTGTCTGTTGACCTCCTGCACACATACTTGAGAGTAGTGAAAGCTTGTCTTGCTTTTCCGATTCTCGCTTTGATATCGTCGTCAGTTCCGCCTACAGTAGGCAGGTGAAGGAGGTTGTTTCTTTCAGGTTCCTCCCATTTAAGCTGGCTGATCGTTGTCTGTTGTTGTTGTTCTTGTCCAGGAATCTTCATCACCTCTGTTTTCTCTATGTTCACCTGAAGTCCTATCTTCTCTGGATGCTTCTTCTGCTAACTTGTTGCTTTTCGCTTGCATATCTTCCAGTTTGTGGGAAATCAGACTAATACATCATCGGCGAATTCCAGATCCTCCAAGTTTTTTGTGTGAGTCCATTTTATACCTGTTTCCTCATTGTCCGCCACTGTTTGTCGCATTATCCAGTCTACTGCAATCAGGAAAATCATTGGCGATAGTAGGCAGCCAGCTTGTCTTACTCCTGTCCTCACTTCTTAGAAGGATTCTGTAAGTTTCCCGTTGGGGATTACTTGTCATGCAGCATTGTCGTACAGCTGTTGGATGAGATGTATAATTGTCGGTGGCACCCCTTTGGTAGTAGCGAAGTAGTTTCGAAAGCACCTCTCGATCGACGCTGCACTATCGAAGGCTTTTTCAAAGTCGATGAAGTTGAGATAGAGAGGTGACTGCCATTCCAAGCAAGCCTTGTTCAATGATGATCCGTAATGTGGCGATCTGATCAATGTATGACTTGTTTCTTCTGAATCCAGCGTGTTCCGGTCGAAGTTTTCATCCAGGTTGGAGTGTTTGATTCTCTCTCCAGGATGATGCGACTTAGTATTTTGCTTGGGATGGACAGGATATATATATTTAACCGTATCCAATTATTTTTAAAGGGGATTTTGCCGAATAAGTGAATGAAAGAGTCGAATTCTGCCTATGATGTTATAAATATATTAATATAATCAGTCATGGCTTTGTATTATTTTATTCTTTCTGTTATTGTACTCATTATCATAGAAAAAAAATAAATAGAAGCTTCCCTTTGAATACGTTTAGGCCTCCTCTGCACGGTAGGTGATAACTTTTTGTTGTTGTTGTTGTTGGTTATTTGTTGTTGTAAAACTTGTATTTTTAAACACAACAAAGTAACACTGTTAGTGTTGTTAGTGTCTTGTCTAGTGGTTGACTTACCGGTTAAACATAAATATTTCAATCCAGTTGTACTAAGTAAGTGGGGTATACTGCCGTCAGATATATTTATGCACCATCTTACACTGAGATGTTGAAGATTAGGCATTGTCGCCAGATGGCTCACTCCAAGATCAGTCAGTTCTGTACATCTGTTGTTGTTGTTGTTGTTGTGTGGTTGTTTTGGTTGTTGTTAGGCGAGACATAAAATATAAACAAACAAGCAAAAACAACATTTTATTGTTAGATTCGAATAGTAAATGGGGAACAGGTTAGTAGTAAGTCAGTAAGTAAATAAGACTGGTCACTGAGAAAAAGGAAATATTCAAAATATTCTCTGTAGGCCGCTTAGTTTCTCTGTAATGTCGGCCAGCTAAGTCGCTGGTCCAATAGTAGGATACTCACCAGCTAAGCGGGGTGTCTGGGTTCATATCCCAGCTGGCGCACTACTAAACCTTTCCTAGCCGGCAGCAAGACCGAGAAACAGAGAGAAGGCTGGAAATGAACAAAGCCACAACTACTGAAACGTTGAAGCTTGAAGTCCTATGAAGGTTCTTGGTTCGATTATCGGCAGGGTGCTTCCGAAGAGTCCCATAATAGGACTGTACAACTGTCCTATGCTTCTCTAACTGATATTAATCTGGACGGGAAATTGAAATCAACACTTGAGAAAAGTTCAAATAGTTAAGAGAACACACAAGCGAAGTAAATTTTAGTTCCCCGCTGCATTGATAAAAAAAATCATACGATTCACCAACAAGTTGGCAGAAGAAGCATCAAAGATAGGCCTTCAGGTGAATGTAGAGAAAACAGATGTGATGAAGATTCCTGGGCAACACCAACAGCAGCAACAACAACTGACAACAATCAGCATAAATGGAAAGAACCTGAAAGAAACAACCTCTTTTACCTACCTACGAAGCATCGGTTCAACTACAGGCGGACACTACTGACGAGGATATCAAAGCAGCTAGGATCGGAAAAGCAAGACAAGCTTTCACTACTCTCAAGTCTGTGTTGAGGTCAACAGCACTCAGCATCAAAATGAAAATAAGATCCGGATTTTCAACTCCAATGTGAAGTCAGTCAGTGCTACTCACTATACGGATCAGAGACTTGGCCAGCGAGTCATAAAGGGCATCTCAAACAAACTACAGACCTTCATTAACAGTTGTCTTCACTCAGTACCACTCAAGATCAGATGGCCGGCCAGAATAGATCATCAACAGAGATCTCTGAGAGCGAACCGACTGTGAAACAAATAGGCAGAGAGAAATGGAGATGGATTGGCAAGCCATACTCTGAGGAAACAGACCATCAAGTGACATCAATAGACAAGCCATTCCTCGAGTGGAATCCGAAAGGGAAGCGGCGAGTTGGTCGTCAGTGCTAGGGTGAGGGTGACTTGGAGGAGGTCATGTGAAGAGGAGACATGGAGCTAGGTGAAGACTCTAGCAGAGAACCGAACGCAATGGAGATGTGCAGCTGAAGCCCTATGTTCTGCTAAGAATTAAAGGAAACAATAGTAATAATAATACGATTCACCATGCTATTTTATCCCTTCCTCTCAATTGTGATCTGTGTTTTCGATGATAAATTCAAGGGAAGTGAATATTTTCTGTTTCATTTTCCACAACGACTCTGAGTTTCACGAAACTTAATTTCATTATTAATGAATGACTGCTAACCACCATAATGCTGAAATACCATCACTAATTAGTGACGTCTCTTGCTGTAAAAGTACACACTATAGTATAGGTATAAAACTTGTTCACTGTGGTATACTAAAGCTCCATTATGGATAAGATTTTATTTTGATAAAGTGTCACACAGTGTTGTACAGTAATGTTAACTGATGCGACCACGTTTCGAGCACAAATAATTATTGCCACTCATAATCATATCAAGTCACTCACTCACTCACACAACTTTTTCCCTTCATTTATATACATGAGTGGAATTTATGAATAGACATTTGAATACAAATCAGTAATATGGGATAAAGTACATTGAGAAATAATAATAATATGAGTGTTATCAATCAATTACAATCAGATGGGAAATAAGGCGAGTGCTTTTATTGTTATCATAAGTAACTTGTTAAAATGTTACGATGATGTACGTGAATTGAAAGAGGATTTTGAGATAATTTTTATTATCCTTCTCTGATTTGACTGGCGTTAAGTGTTTAACAAACCGATCAGTAGCTCTAAGTAGCACAAAAAAAGACCTAAATGATGATAGAAGTGGCGTTGGTGTTAAATAACTAACTATCCTATAAAATTCATTTGGAAGATCAGTAAAGGCCAAAAGGAAAACAAAAATAATTGTGAAACTAGTAATGATGATAACATAAATAAGAAAGAATATAAGTCATCCACTGTTATGCTACATAAGGAGGGGACATCTGAGATACTCCCTACGTAGGATTTCTAATAACAAAGCAGGAATTAGGGTGGCATTCAAACCTACAAACTCACTCAGTGAGGTCAAGCTCTGTAGGGAGGCTAAAGGACACTGTCGGTTGACCCAATTAGACAAAACAATATCATTTACAAAATACCTTGCAATGATTGTCAGTTAGGTCAGCTACCTACATAGGTGAAAGAGACTAGTAGATCGGGGGTAGTCAGATTTTTGGAACATAAGAATTTAGCCAAGGTTAGAATGGTTGACCCTGAGAAAATAAGCAATTTAGAAAGGCAGCTCAGCACTACATTGCACTGCATGCATGCATTAAGACACAACCACAGAATAGCATGGTGGGAGAGGTTTAAGATTCTAAACAGTTATCTATGCGGGTGGAGAAAGATTACTGAATCATGTATGGTTCATTGAGTCTACACTCAACACATGCAACAGAAATGACTCAATGCAAATACCAGAGATATGTATGGAAGATATTATTACCACCAGTCAGTCAGTGAAATCAGAGGAGGATAATAAATAATCTTAAATTGTATTCTATTTCAATTCAATTCACGTACATCATCACAACATTCTGACAAGTTACTTATTATGACTATAAAAGAAACACTGGTCTTATTTCCCATCTGATTGTAATTGATTGATAACACTCATATTATTATTTCTCAATGTACTTTATCCTATATTACTGATTTTGATTCCAATATCTAATCATCAGTTCCACTCATGTATATAAATGAAGGAAAAAGTTGTGTGAGTGAGTAACTTGATATGATTATGAGCAATAATTTGTGCTCAAAGCGTGTGGTCATCAGTTAATATTACTGTGTAACACTGTGTGACACTTTTTCAAAATAAAATCTTATCCATAATGGAGTTACACAATATGGTGTAACAGTAACGTAATGTGACTGACTGATATTCTGAGGATGGTATTCCTCGGCGAGAAAGACTACGGCTTGGCATGCTTATTACAACCCTACCTATACCCGTTACTCACATTGTGTAGCACTCTACGCCCAGCCTAATAATTACTAGTCACGACAAGTTTAGCCGTCTTTCATCATAGGTATCTGTGTTCTCTCTTCCGTTTTGAGCGGTATAATAGGGTGAGTTATATTGGATGTTAGGCGTTGAGTGTAGGGTAAGGAGGGCAAATCAATCGACAATGAGGTTGTGAAGTTACACCGATTGAGATGGTTAGATGGACATGTGTTAAGCATGCATGCCTGGCCATCGCCTTCCTCGACAACGGGCAATGTTAGCTGACATAGGATGGATCAGGTTGGAAAAGAGTTAGTGGTGGTGAAGCCAAAACATGGCCTCACCAGTCAATGAAATCCACAACAGTTAGTTTAAGTCAGCCACGTAGAAAGGCGTGGACGTCTTGGTTGGATGGTAAGAACCAAAGAAGGCTGGAGACAATTGTTGATATGACTGAAAATCGTTCTCAATGACTAGCGCAGATGAATTCACTCTTCGTGATTTATCCTAATAATAATAAGATTCTATTGTTCTTCTATATAACTAACTATTCTTTTTGCCTCGTATTTCTGTTTATTATCTCTTGTCTGGATCTCTCACTTACTCTCTTCTCTTTTCTGTGTATGATACATGGAGTGTGGTAACTCGAACGGCTGCATTCCTGTGCAAAGTTCTATGTTGAAAACAGTCAGTCACTGTTACTATTCATGGCTGAATTCCCTAAGTGAATCGAAGTGTTACTTTTAGCTTCAAAGTCTTGAAAGATGACTCACAAACTGATAATGAAATACATACTTGAGAATTAGACACCCTAGGTGCTCAGTGAGTAAACATGCACTTATTAGTTTGTTTATTAGATGTATCACACAATCACAGAAACAGTATTATTTAATGGATGACGTTTCGAACGCAATTCATCATTATTGCTGTTCATAATCATTTCAACAATTATAATCACACGACTTCGAAACTTGACTTTTATAGTTTCCCTTGTTCTCTCCTATTTGTCGTCGTTGGGGTTGTAGAATTTTCCACATATCTGGCTGGACAGGTGTTGAATCATTCCTATTACACGTATTCTCTCTCAGTTGATTCGATAAACAAAGCTTCTGTTATCAATCTCTTCCTCCCTCGACCCTGTGACATTAGATTTTAAAACTGTCATCCTATCCCATCCTAGTGTTTGGTTGTATGTAACTGCATGTAGTGCTTGCGATAGCTGAACTATTCTCTAGGTTTCTTATCTTATTTGGGTCAACCAATCTAGATTTTGCTGCTAGGTTTTATGCTGCTCGGCTAGTCTGACTCACTGACTGACCCTGTTCTACCAGTTTGACCTATGTATTTGACCTGACAATCATTGCAGACAGGGTATTAGATAAACTGAATTGTTTTGTTTTCAAGGCTCCACAGGATTGATCCTTCAACCAACAAAGCACGTTTCTAATTGAGTTTGTGTTTGGTTTGAATTCCAGCCACTTTTATTCCTGCCAGCCTTTTTTGAGAATTCTCCGTCTTCAAGGTTCCTTCCTTGTATGGAATTACCACTGATGATTTAGATTCCTTATTGTTGGTGTTGTCATTAACTTGCGCATGCTTGACATGCATGTCAACATTAATATTACTATTGTTATTATCATAATTACTATCACTACTATCATTATTTATTGTATTCTTACGTTTCCCTACATACTTTCCGACTAATTTATTAGCGCAATTATTAAGTTCCAAGGCTTCTCTT